GACTTTCCACTGATAAATCAGCATCTTGAGCTCATTAGCCCAGATCTCAATTGCTATCCACAGTCCCATCTCTCTCTCATCTAATTGCTCTTGCCACGTGAGCCAATATATATATTTATATGTATTTAAGGGTCACCTGCCTGGCAGCCCTGGCAGCACATCCTGCAAGTATATCCATCAACAGTCACTGCCCCTAAGCGAAGCCAAAACAGAGACACTCGCAAAAAAATGTTAAATGCTTAGGGAAAAAAGGAAAACCCATTTGGAAACTAGGGGAAGGAAAATTGCCCATTGAAATGTAAACCAGGAAATCGGGGTTTGGCTTTTTCCGGCTTTACGTGGAACAAAAGACGCAAAGAAGAAGCGACAGCGAGAGAAAAAAATATAAAAAAATATATACACAAAAGCAAATACAAAGAGCAGAGCAGAGCAGTTTTCAAATCCAGCAAAAAAAAAGTGTCAACAACCCAGAGGGAGACACACTGAGAGTGACTGAGATGGCTATAAGTAGGGAGATAGCAGGCAGGCGGCAGGCAAAAAGTAGCTGCTGTTTTGTTATTTTGTATTGTTAGATAATAATAATCATATCGCATTGCATGTTGTTGACACATGAGCAATGATGCTGTCGCTTATCTCGGCTATGTCTCACTCACTCGCACAGCTACGCTGCAGCTCGCCCTCCTGCTCTCACGCCAATGGTCATATGTTATTGCCATTACGATTCGCTGGTCTGTGCTTAACAGCGCTCTGTTAGCGTTAACAGTGCTCGGTTGATGCTCTGTTAATTGGCTCTGCTTTTGACATTTTAATTAATTCACCTGCCTCAGACAGCTGCATTTAATATGGAAAATATGTTTTATACGATTTTCACTTCTCTTAGTTGATTTTTTTGAATTATTTATTTATTTTTTATTGTCCGCCTGCCTGGATGTAAATTAAAAACTCGATTCTGTTTCAATTAATCAACGACTGTCAATGATGCTTAATTTGCGCTCTACCCGACGGTTCTCTGCAGTGGACGCACTTTAATCAGCTTGTTGCTTCCTCAATATGCAGGCAAATGGCCTTACTTTAAAATCGATTTCAATTTTCAATTCTTTATTTTACATGCGTTTCATAATTTTGTGTTTGTTCTTTTGGTGTGAAGCAAATGTGCAAAGTCTAAAACAGATTTTTCCCTATTCTTTCTCAGTTTCCACATCAGCTTCAGCTTAACGTAAACAATGCTCAAAGTCGCAGCATATTTCTAGTGCCGTACAACAAAGCAAAACATATTGTAGGCATTTGCACACGCCTTAGGAAAAACACTTAAGAGACGTTTAGCAAAATTCAATTTTTGTATCCCCTTTTTTTGCCCGACTACGCCCAACCCAAAACCCCTCCTTTGAGCTGAGCGAAAACAACCCAAACAACCCAAAAGTAAAACATATTCCAAACACACACACACACACACACACACACACACACACTGTCAGACATTGAAGAGACCTAGACACAGTACCGAAGCTGAGTTCCGAGCAGCGAGCCCGGCCGTAACGCTCGACACTGTCTGCAAATGACAGCAGCTTTACGCTCTTATATAAAAGCCAAAACATGTGATATGTTTTTGTGCGCATAGACCAAGCTATATACAAATATATATATATAAGCCATATACATATATATATATTTATATATATATATATATTTGTGTATATACAGATACCCTATGTACAATTTCTTGGCTAAAGCCACCCACAAACAGATTACAAAGCATTGCCAACGCCAACCCCCGTTGGCGAAGCAACCCCCAAGCAGAGGCAAAATAAAAACGCGGCTGTACGCGGACGACGAGGACGCCATGACAGACGCTGTGCCAATTCCGTGCGTTCCAGGCGCCACGCTAAACGCTTTTCGCCTTTTTACCCGCTAGGAAATTAACAATTTGGGCCTCAGTTAATGGGGCGTAGGCGCCACAAAATATGCAAAGCACATTTCTATAGCGGCCTATTTCAAAGTGCTGCTGCCTCTGCCTCTGCTTCTGCTTCTTCTTCGAGTTTTTTTTCTCTTTCGGCTTTTATGTACAGGCTTGGGATTTACTTTATTGAAATATTTAAATAAGTTTGGCAATGCGCACAGCCTAAATGGGATTTGCATGGCACGGACGTCCTTTAGAAAGTGTGTGGAAATGTCTTTGGCTCTGAAATTGACATTTTATAAATGGGCTACGATTTTGTCTGTCCCGCTCGCTCCCGTTCAGTCTGCCTCTCTCTCTCCGTCTCGCTAAATAGGTTTTTTTTATATATGCAGCTCAAAACTTAAAGCAATAAAATATTTAAATGCACATTTTTTTTGTTATTTCTAAATGTAAAATGTGAAAATTATGCGTTTGTTTAGCGAGTCCAAAAACCCCTTTCTACGGTTCGGGCGCGTGTCGCACACTTGGCTCCAGCCAACCCGCTGTGCCACGACCACAGAAGCGCACCAGGAGCTGCCCATATGGTATAGGCTAGTAGACAGCCAGTCATAAAAGGAGGTCCGTCCAGCTGATAGGACTGATAAGAACCGTTGGACAAACAGCGTGAAGCAAGACAGCTGCCAGTTTAATTTGAAGTAATTAGCGTTTTGTAGAGCGCGGAAAATTTCGTAGCCAGATAAGCAGAGATGATAATATTTTATTTCATTTCAATATAGGTTTTATCACAAGTCAAACAAATATATATATATAGGTTTCTCTATACTGTACATCAGTAAACAATTGGGATTCTTGTCTTTTTGAAGTATTACCAAATTCTTAGGAAACACGCGGCTCAAATCGAAATTTAACTAAGCTGGCCGCCTGTTTACGCCTAATTATGAAATCACACATGTAAAGCCGCCACTTGACATTGTCAGCCGCCTCTCCTCTCCCCATCTCGTTAAATTGTTTTGTAGACCTTTTTGGAACGCATCGAAAGGCATTTGCTTCGCTTGTTTCTTGGCCATTTCTCATTGTGGCTGTCAAAATAATTGAGCCCGTCGCTTTTGGAGTGATTGTTCGGACAATACGCATATTTATGTCTGTTCAATTTTGACAAATTAATAGAAAAATTCCAGAAATCTAAAAAAAGCAAAACGCCACACGCCATTCGCATTGAAAACTCATTTGAGCCAAGTCCAAAACAAACTCAAAGTTTATGCAAATGCACGTAATAAACCACATAAATTAGTATTAAATTACAGCGCAGGCAGCCAAACAATAAACAATAAAATTTAACAACAGCCAGAAGAAATCATAAAAGAAGTCAGACTAAAACTTGTTGAGCTTGTCACAGGGCAGAGTCCAGTCCACAAGCACCGCTGGATGTCTTTTTATATGGCGCATACACAAAGGCCCCAAAAGGGACAGATAATAATAATGCAGCTTTTCAGCGTAGTGCCCCAGTCGGGCACTCCCCCAATCAAGCCCCCAACTATGTGCGCTTTAAGCTCAAGGTGTGAAAATGTTCGATTATTGTCATCGTCTGTTTGGTTTGGTTTTCTTCTTCTTCTTCTTCTTCTCTTTTTTTGTGTAGCTCGCCAAGTTGGGGCTGCTGGTTTCGACTGAGCCGCTTAGCTGCAATTGTCACAAGGCGATGCTTATAATGGCCGCTTAGCTGGCACATAAATGCCATATGCTAAATGGGATTTTACTCAACTTTTCGTTCACGAACTGTGCGCTCTCTCACACTCACACACACACTCTCTCTCTCTCTCTCTTTCTCTGAATCAAGTTTATTGAAACTTTTAGTGTCAGCTGTGGGCGCTTGTTTTGGTTTAAGGACAGTTTATAGCACTTACAGCATAGCTATTTGTTTGCTAACTTAGCTTACCTATGCATTGTCTTTCTATTGTGAATGCTATTGATATTTTAACATAGTTTAAATGCTGAACTACACAGCTTATGTAACACTCCTTCAAATACATAGAGTTCTTCAAGAAAGTCTGATTTAGTAGTAGCTTGACCTGCTCTAGAAACATTATTGTGTTTTACAACACTATACATTATATGTACTCATTCTTGAGCAACTTGTCTACACGTCTTTATAACTATCCATACACATGTGCATATATTTATTATAAATCATTTGTTATAAATCATGTTTAAATGATCATATTTTCCCTGAGCTCAACTTGCTTTGCCCAAATATTTAGCCAGTTCCAGGAACTACTTTGAATTGGGGATTTATTTATACCTCGTATTCCCAGCCTTATCAAAACACATCTGTAACACATATTTGCCAAATTATAGGTTAGTTTTTCCTCACGTAAAATATGGCTTATTATTTATGACTAGGTTCGGGCTTAATCAAATAATTGTATCTTAAATACGCTTGCACGGCAACTCTTTGGCTTGGCGAGCACATAATTTTCTAATAAGCCATAAAATATCGCCCGATCTTAAGGGCTAACCTGTCAGTGTTTAGCGTGTTTGTTGCCTAGAAAAGGTGTTACAGACATGGCTCTAATGCTGGCCTATAATAGATGTTAGCCTTTGACCTTTTTCTCCCAACTTATTTCGAGCCGCTGTCCGTTTAGTTTTTCACATGTCCCGACAAAAGGACAACAACAGGCAGCAGCGACAGCGGCACAGGTGAATTCGGCTTCGACTTGGTTGGGGTTGGGGTTCGTAGTTCAGGCAAGTGTGCGGCCCTCGCCGCTGTTTGATTTCAAACAATGCCTTGATCCCGCATAATTTATATGATTTTTCTCTATAAAAACGCCGGACAGACGTCGCCTTTTTCCCACCTTTATTAAATTGTATTGATATTGAGTTTGACTTCGAGTTCGAGTTCGAGTTCATAAATGTTCATCTTTTATGGGGTTCGCCCTATAGTATATATTTATATTTTATGCGTGGCACATAAATAATGTCATTTATTGTGAGAGAGGAAGAGGGAGAGGGAGGAGTGGGGAGGGTAGCCTCGTTCATATCTTTTGTTTAAATTTAACAAACAATAACTTAACCGAGTTTTTCCTTATTTTTCTTTGCCTATTTTCAGGCGAGAAGCCGTTCAAGTGCGAGCACGAGGGCTGCGATCGCCGTTTTGCCAACTCCTCGGACCGCAAGAAGCACTCGCATGTGCACACCTCGGACAAGCCCTACAACTGTCGCATCAATGGCTGTGATAAGTCCTATACGCATCCCTCCTCGCTGCGCAAGCACATGAAGGTAAGTACGGCACGGGGATTACCAACTGTTTGCCATCTACTGCGTTTAGCCAGCTCAATCTTCAGCGCTAACTGATGAAATTATCTGTTCCGCTCCTTTTGTTGCATTCGCAGGTGCATGGCAACATTGACGAGAAGTCGCCGTCGCATGGCTATGATAGCGAAGGCGAGGAGAGCTCCAGCTCGAGCATTGTGACGGGCGGGGCGCAGACGCCACCCTCGACGCGTCTGGACGGCAGTGCGGGCAGCAGCAGCGGCGTCAGCAGCTTGAGCGGCGGCAGTGGCATTAAGTCCTCACCGCACTCTATCAAATCGGAGCCAAATCCCTTGCACAGTGTGCATCTGGGCGCCTCCAGCACCGGCAGCAGCAGCACAGCCAGCAGCAGTGCCTCTCACCTGTTGCAGCAGCAACAGCAGCAGCAGCAACAACAACAGCAGCAACAGCAACAACAACAGCAACATCAGCAACAACTACTGCATGCCGAGCCCAAATCCTCGCCTGCGCTGCAGCTGATGGCCTCCTCCGCGTATCTGCCTCCACCATTGGGACCACCGCCCTCGCATCATCATCATCACCATCATCATCAGGTGCCGGGCACCGCAGCGGCAGCTGGCTCACCGGGCGCTGCCGCATCGGCATCGATGCTGGCGGTAACTGGACATCACAATCACCATTTGCTATATCATCCGGCGGCGCAGCATCATCCGCCTAGCGATTGGTATCATACGGCAGCGCCGGCGGCCAGTGCGGACGCGATGAATCCATTGAACCACTTCGGCCATCATCATCATCATCATCATCTGATGCATCCAGGCGCTGCGACAGCGTATTGAGATTGGGAGAACTGGTGGCCCGAAACCGAACCGCCGCCCCCACAAGCGGCAGCCGGCGCGCCGCCAGAGGAGCCAACGCAAGCCCTCGACTGGATATGCTGTCAGCGCCTGCAGAATTTGGCGCTTGTCGCGCAATGTGAAAACCAAATATTTCTGAAAGTTGAAGAAAGCACTTTAAACTTTTTACCTGATAATTGAAAAATTGCTGTTAAAAAATAAAATAAAATAAAAAATAAATATATATAAATATATATATATATTATAATATATATATAAAATAAAATATTTAAATATAAACTAAATACAAAATTCATGAACGAGTTGAGAGTACTTTAAAAACCTATTATTATTATGTATTTTAAAATAATATAAACAAAAAAAAATAAAACAAAAATAAGATAAAAAGAGAAACAGAAAATTTTGCTATTTAAATGTTAGTCTCGTAGTTGCTTTTTGTTTTGATGGTGCGAACAATGAAAATTCTTGTAAATTATAAAATTTAACTACTATAAATGTATAAAATAACATAAATTTATATTAACGATTACAAATTACTTAAGCATATTGACTATTTAATTGTTAAGATTAGCAAATTTTTCAAGCTGCTTTTCACACTCAATCGAAATACAACCCAAAAACACAAATGAAAAAGAAAAACATTTAAAACCAGCTCCTCCAGCTTTCTAGTACAAAAATGTTTAAAAAAAATGGAAAAATTGCAAATACACTGTAAAAAAAAATTAATGACAAGCCACACATATACGTACATGCATTTTCGGCCTTAGATTTCCAAGCTTAAGAGTACACAAAGTAAATATATGAAAAAAAAATACAAAACCGACATGAAAAATAAATATAAAGAAAAACTATGAAAAAGAACCTACAAAAAAGTTGTATTTATTGGGTCTAAATCAAATTCTTGGCTATATCAAGTGGGAGACCTTAGAAGTCAAGCTAATCCTCTCTCTTATGCAACATCCAAACACCCACGCTTTAATAAGCTTCCCAACCATAGCCAGTTCCCTTTGAAATATTAACGATGCGAATAAAATGTAAATTCGAAAAATGCAAATTGCAATTTTGATCTGTTAATTAGCAAATGTTAATATTTGACGGAATCGCGTCATGAATATTTATATATGCTTGATTCCAAGCAGATTTCAATGTTATGTGTTTTGATAGGATTCTTTGTTAGTGTTTCGCTTAGCGGTGCCAACAATATTTATGCGTATCTGATTTCAGTGGGCCAAGCCATCAAAAATTTGATAGCTCGCATTACAGCAGCTATTAGCGAGCGCTGTTAATCAACATTAACATAACATAACAGCTAATTACACTAAGAGAAACACTTGACTGGTATAATATTTCAGGTTATATGTGGAAAACAGTCGATGCAAAAGGCACAGAAGAACTATGAACAGCTACATAAGTAGCGCTGTTATTTAACATTTCTATAACAGAGCTAATAACATTAGCTGTCACACAGTGAGTAATAGTCTCAAAATATATGAAAAAGTTCTTTTAAATATATTTATCGTATATATATATATTATATTTGAGCAACTTTTTATTTAGTATCTTTTTTCTAAGTGTAATCACTAAGTTTTATTGAAGTGAAATTTTGTTGCTTTTTTTTTTAATTTTTTTTTTGCCAGCAAATGTTTCAAGTGATGAAAGGCCCGTCAAACCCGGCCACGGTTGTTAGCACTCCAGCGTGTAACAAAAATCAAACGATTTATGTTTTTTTAATTAACCCAACAATTTGTTACGTGCCTCAAACTGACACACACACACACGCACACTCGCATACACACATAGCATGAGGTAGGTTCAACAAATGGCCATCTAGGAGAGGTAGCTGCTCCAACTCTGTGGCTAGTCAAGCTGTTAGCTGCGCTGTATGAGCATAGCGAATTCATATTTTGATTTATTGAATAGAAATCGATTGGATTAATCTAAAGAAATTATATTGCGGCTGCCGTTGCGACGGCTTGTCTATGAAAATTTGCCACGACCGAGCCGCTTTCCTTTCTGCTTCTCTTTCTCTCTCTCGCTCTCTCTGATGCACCCCCAGGAGCTGGTATTGAAATTAAAGAAAAGCAGGCAGAAAACTGTTTGTGCCAAGCAATTAAATTTGGTATTTTTATTATTTTTTTCTTTCTGTAATTTGCCCGAAACCTCCCAAACATGTTGATGAAAATAAAATGGTAACAGGTTTGGTTAGATTGAGCTTGGGCTTAGGCTGGCTAAAAAGTGCACGAATGTCTGCCAAAAAAGCTCTTAAAATATGTTGGGAGTATGCATATCGAGGAAATTTCATGGCTCGTTGCTAACTTGAACGCTTGAGAGTTAGCTGATTAAAAAGAAATAATAATAAATATATGCATTATGCTTTCAGCTCAATGCAAGTGACGGTAGCCACCTGAACTGTTTAACTATCACTTTAAAAGTCAAATCTATGGCAATCTATGGCCCAGCCCATGGTCTCGTGCTCCCAGCTGCACATAATTTTTTCCCATGCCAAAGTCGACGGCAAAAACCTTTAAACAAATCAAGCTGCGACCACACAAAACGCAACAACAACAAACAGCAACAAACAACGTCAACAACTGACAAACATTTGAGCGAGCAAGAAAAAAAGCCAACAAAAATGGCCAAAAAGCGCCACAGACAAAAAACTTGTTGACACAAAGCTCTACACCCATTGTATCGGGGCTATATGGGCAAGCCAGCTCGCTCTGGCACAGTGCACTCACTCGCTCTCCCGCTCTCTCTCTGTCTCGCTCTGTCTTACGTCTCTGTCTGCCGCTCCTGCTCTAGCACACAGCGAAGCGTTCACTTTGTGTCGGCACAATTTAAGTTTCAATGAGCGACTATTTGTTGCAATTTAAACTGAACGCGTTTATAAATTGACGTCGGAAACTGGCGTCGAGCGTGGAGTGCTCATAGGAGGCCACCAATAACCCCCTTACGGCTCCTCCATGGACAGGTAACACAGGGTGAGGAGTGTGGGGGGAATAGGCCAAATCAACTGGCAGTAGGCAGCGACTGTGACAGCGACAGCGATGCTGCCAGCTGAGGACAGGCAAACATTTTGCACGCTGCGTTGTTGTAGTTGTTGTTGCTGTTATGATACCCTATAGCTGTGCCAAAGCAGTGGGCATGCTGAGCTTCTCAAGCAGAATATGCTTAAATATTTTCCTCTACATTTCCAGGTCAGCACTACAAACGTATAGCCTATATATAATGACAGCTTTGCCCAAATATTTTATTCAAGCTATTTGACTGTTTACAGGGTATGTGCAGTCGTGCCAGCGAAACTAGATCACTTCGTCATGCTATTGTTGTTGTTTTTCTGGTTATGCTGCCTATTTTTGGTTTGTGTCCGAAAAAGTTAAGCGACGCTTAAACAACATAAATTAATTTAGACTAGTTATAGTTATCTACAGTTATAGTTGTCTGGCTTTTGTGGTCGACTAATTTGTGCGGTTGGCAGTTTTAATTTACCAGTTGTCCATTGTTCGCTGGGTTGAGCGGGGTATCGAATAAGTTAGTTTGTCAGCGAACTCATAAATTTAAATGTTGTCAACGGTTTTTAAGTTTTCAGGCAAAAATGCTATGCGACTTTAAGTTTCAGCCACAATATCTAATTGTAATCATTCTGAGCTTGGCTATATTAATTAATCGTGGTTGTTGTTATCACGAGGAGCCAAGGCTTAAAGCGTAAATGCAGAAGTCTTTGGAAGCCATATTGCTGCGTCTTGGTTAATTTGTACTCTGCGCAAGATCTGTGGGGCCGCCAGCCAAGTTATCCTTGGTATTCCGAACAAAAGACTCGAAACAAATTAAAAAGCCACGCAACTTAACTTTTTCCATTTGTAAAGAGGTTGGTAACAATGGGCCGCTCCCCACACTCAACACCATCGAGTGGCGATCGAGTCGGGGCAGACGCATTGGCACCACGATTCACAACACTTAATGATGGATTTTACACTTGGCTAATAGTTTTTTGATACAAAATTTAACGCCAAAGCCGAATTACAATAGTCACACACTCACGCACCTCCGCCCCGGCCACACACAGCAGAAACTTAATTAGTTTTCCAAGTGCAGCAACATCAAATATAAGAGGAAGAAAAATGATAAATTGTTGCCTGGCTGCTTCCAAGCTGTCTGGCGCGATCTGTGTTTCTGTGCCGATATATATTGAGTTACGATGTCAGCGGCGTGGATCATTAAAATTACAGAGTTTCCCAAGTTCCCAAGAAATGCCAGACTGGCCGCAGCAGCTGCTACACTGTGGCATCCACATCAAGAACTCAAGGCAATGAGAAGAAACTTTGTAATTTTTCAATAAGCAGCGTCCACCAAAACTAAATTAGCTGAGCGCAGGGAACGAGAGCGCATGCAAATTTCACAGGAATCAAAAACGCGAAACGTACAAATAATAATAAAAATAATCAAGAAGAAGCAGTTGGACACAGATAGGCTTATATACACCAAGCCCAAAAAGTCGTTGCAGCCGCGTGTGACTTATGACTGAAGCGAGGACTGAACTCGAGCCGGGACTCGGGCTGTCTCTGAAACTGGGATTCGGACGGCGACTGGACCTGAGCCTGTGACTGTGACTCTGCCAGTGCCTGGAACTGGCATCGTGTGTCTCGTTTCGTTTTGGACCATGTGCAGACAGTTGCGAAATTATATTTGCGCAGCGTCATGCAGCACCATTGTGTTCGAGCACTGGCGTCCGAGCAGGGATCGAGCGCGCCAAGCGGACGACTCCGCGGCCGATTTGTCAGTGCAGACGAATAGTTTAACTGGCCCAAGTGCTTTTTGATACACTCGCAGAAAAGTATGCGCATATGGAATCGAATTTCAGCTAAAGCGACTTGAAGCTGAGATTCTTTACGATCGAAGGCTCTGTGTGGAAAACAAACTAGGAAAACTGTTAACAAAAGTAGCCTTTGGATGCGGCTTGAATACAAATCTTCAAACTTAGTAATTGGAACACAACTTTTCGCTGAGTGTATTCGCTTTTGCAGGTTGTTCTCGGACACTGTGAGAGGCAGAGGCTGCCCTAGTCCCTTGGCCAGACTACATCATCGTCATCGTGCTATTCAAACAAATGATTTACAAAATGTTAAATGAATTATGCATTCTGCATATGCGACTGGGCCATTTCGTGCCATTTTTCATATTAGCTCCAAGTGCAGAACCTGTGCCTCGACTGCAACTCCAACTCCAGACTCCAACTTTGGTGTTGGCTTTAATAAATTGGCGTGGGGTGCGCCTGCAGCAATCGTTGTTGTTGTTGCTGTTCGCTTTGACCATTGTGGCTAAGCGTTGGGAATTCTATGTTGAGTCGAGCAATGTCAATGCCTAAGCAAATATAGCACTGCCTTTGCCAAAGACCTTTAATAATCAAGTCATATAAATTGAGTGCATTTTTCATAATAAATGAAGGGAATTGTCTAAATTATGCTGCTCAGCAAAGTGAAGATGGGAGAGTGCGTGTGGGTTTCTAAAGATGGAAAACATGGCTCAGCATAGATCAGGAAGGCAGATGACTAAAGCTGTTCAAACTTTGTCAAGGCAGGGAAAATGGAAAAAGTCAGAGGTGTTATAATGTTTCTATATTATTTTAGAGCTCAATAAGAAATTTCCCAATTTGTCCAATTTAGACGTGCCTTTCCCCAATTTTCTTGCATTGCTCTGCCTTTTCCCTCTAACTTCATCTTAGAAAAGTTCTCTCACTCTATCGTAAATTATAAACATATCGAGTGGCACCTCGTTATAAAATCTAGGCAAGGAACACAATCAAAATCGGGTAACAAGTCAGTGTCTAAGTGTCTTCATTAAACAGGTGAAATATGTTGATGTGCCTTAAAACAATATTTGCTCACTTTTGGCCCAATACAGCGCGCACACGGCTCTGTTTAGTTAGCAATTAAAGAGGGTCGGTCGATAGGTGTGGGGCAATGAAGCTGCTGCTGCAGTTGCAACAAGTGCAACACCCCCAGAGCTCCAGAACATAATGTCTATGCTGGCTGTCAGGGCTGATGTTGTAAACAACAGGCGCAGCATATTTAGTATGTGTGAAGTAAATGAATGTGCAACATGGGGCAAGCAGCAGCAATCGAAACTGGAGACTAACAGTAGCCAGGGATAGAGCTGCATAGCTAATTATGCTGAAAGAGCAGCAACCGCAGCTCCTTCGCTCTTCTGATACTCTGCAATTGTTAACAATGATTTGGAGAGGGAGGGTATATTGTTTATATTAGTTTATACTATGAATATTTATAGAGTAATAGTTTATAGTTTATGCTATGCATATTTAAACTAAAACTTCGTTTAATACCTCAACTAGAGTAATTGAATTTTTCGCTCGTTTTACAGAGCACAACTCGGTTAGGCATACCCAACTGGAACAGTCCTACGTGTCCTCTATCCACGCTGAGCACTTGAGCCCTCAGCAAGACCCTTGGCCTGCACTAAAACTGATTTATGCGCTATGCAGGGCCAGACTTGAAGGCGGCTGCCACGACGGCTGCATCTCTGCCTGCTGAAAGTTTCAAGTATTCAGACATTGTCGAATTGTCGACTTCTTGCAGGCAAAAGGTAAACTGCAACAGGCCACAACGCAACACATAAATATCAAAGAACATTGCATTGTGTTTGAGTTCTTGTGCAATAAAACAAATTATAATATAAACTCAACTTTAAGTTAATATATAAAATATATCCCATGTGTGTCTTTTGTGGGTGTGTGCGTGTGTGTTTATGTGCTCACTGAAAGTTGGGCGCGATTAGCTTTAGCTGTCGTTGCAGCCGCTGATTGAACTGTTGCAGCAGCTCCTCCCGCTTTATAAGGCGCTGCGGCGTTTGGAAGGTCGTTTCCGAATTGTATAGCATTTCCACCTGGGCGGCCATATTTTGTTCCATTTGCGGGCTTAGCTCAACGTCCGCTTGGTAGTAGTTGGTAGAAGCTCGCAGAGCATGCGCAGCGAGACGTGCCACATGCTTTCTGTAAGTAACGGGCGGAGAGTCCTTATCATCGTGCAGCAGATTCATGTCGACATCTACCTCGGGCTGGGTACGCCGATAGAAACGCACGCTGGGCACATAGCTGCTGATGCTGTAAGCGCTGCTGTTCGTTGTGCTGCTGCTATCTCTACTGTTGCCCGTTGGCAGCGAATGGCAGCTGCTGTTGTTGGAGCTACACTCAATTTTTCTGTCCCCCCAGGCAGCCGCCTGCAGTTTGGCCTGCGCCTGTAGCTCATCATCGCTTAGATTTATGTCTAACAATTCGTCCTCCTTGAGGTCACTGGGCCCCTTTAGCAAGGCTTCATCCGGGTCGTATGCCCTCTTTATCTTAGTCGATTCGCCCAGCTCATCGTCGCTAGGATACTGAACTCCTTTCTCCTCGCTGACTATGCTTGTCTGGGAGCGCTCCTTCGACAGCTCACTCTTCATGGCACTCTCTGGCAGTGTCACACAGCTCTTTGCCACATCAACCTTGTCGTCGTTCGGTTCAACATTTTCCATTCTGTTCGTCCTTTGAGGCTCCATTTCACAGCAATCGCTTTGGTCGCTGTAAATAATCTGTATAGGGCTACTCGCACGATCTTGATATTTCTTGGCCACACTTAGCTGGGATGGTGGGCTGCTTATCAGAGAACTGTTTGCACTCGTATTTCTGCTGCTTACAAAATAGTCATCGGCACTATCAGGTGCATATACCAAAGAGCTAGTCGCAACTGGAAAAGTCTGCATATTTTTAGTAGATCGTTCCGTGGGGCCTGTTGAATTCGCGGGTGAATGAAGCGTCTTCTGACCATTTGGAGCTTGCTCTGATTTATTGAGTCTATATGTAGTTCGCCGGGACTTGCGTAATTCAATCGATTTTGAGCTTTCAGTTTCACTTTGCTCAGCATTATAAGGCATGTGTCTGTTCCTCAATGACTTGGGTCTCTCCAAGGACTTAGCTAGAGAGTCGTCTGCTTGAGCCCGCCGTTTTGAATTTTCATCATTTGTAAAGCTCTGTGAGCTTTGCTCTTCCATTCGACTCGATGAACTATGAGTTCTATGTGATTCACTTTGCGAGCTAGAAGCTTGAGGATCGCTTTCCTCGTAAGCTATGGAATTATCTGTAAGTTCCTTGATAGGATCAACTTCTCTTTGAGATGTACTTCTTTGTGAATTTCGCTCTTCAATAGATCCAAAGGATGATTCATGTTGTTCACTAAAATTAGAGATAGTATCCTTACACTTATCGATTTGAGCAGAGCTTCCATTAAATACACTTCTCTGGGACATCACCTCTTTTTTAAGCTCTAGGGACTCGCTCGAACTATTTGCTTTAGTTTGCTCACACATAATACTCCCCGCTGTGCTATGCTCGTCAGCCCTCTCTGAGCTATTATCACTCTCTGAAGTATGTTTTAAGCTACTTCTTGTACTTGAAACTATTTGCTTACTATTATTACTAGATTTCTTTAAGTGTAAGCTCTCTTCGGACTTTTTAAGACTTGAGTTAATTTGATTGCTCCTTACGGAACGATCCGTGGGAATCGCTTCGATTGAAGTTTTCTCTAAGGATTTCGCAGAACCAACATAAATTTCACAATGCTCAAATTGTAGCACTTTGGCTTTCTTAACTTCATTATCAATTAACTTTGAGCTGTTTTGCGCAGACTGGGAACACGGTTTTTCACTGTTCTGCTCAGATATTTCACTTTGAACTTCGTCATGGCTTTCGGATTTGATGTCATTTATGTCTTCAGCTGCCGAATGGGTTGATTGACTCTTCACGGGCTCATCATGCTCATCAGTTAGCGGTTCTTCCATCTCTTTTACGTTTTCGGCACAAAGCTGTTCATAGCCAGAGCGCAGCTCTTGCTGATAGCAGTCGATAACATCCAACTGTTCTTGAATTAAATATTTGTAGTCCGCCTCGGTCAAGTGATTATCATCCACTGCTTGTTGAAGATGTTGCGCTTCTTTTTCGCTTTCATTTGAAGCCTCTGTAGTGCTCTCACTTTCATAGAGCTCTCCAAAATTCCTTACCCAGCGGGCAGTACGCACCCCGGACTTGGATCTGATGAAGGCATCTCTTTGATTTGCTTTCTGAGTGGTATATGCTTTGTAGATCTGCTCGGCTTTCTCCCGACGGACTCGTGACTCCTCGTAAATTTCGCTATAGATTTGACTAAAAGTTTTCGACTCGTCGCTCGACGTCTGCGTCGCTTGACTGGCTTCCGAGTCAGATTGGTCCCGAGCTGTTGGTTCTTTAGGCTTTGCTTGCTTACGCGACGAATGTAATTCTCCTTCATTTTTTGCCTTGGGCGGATCTTTAGACTTTGGCGATTTGGGCTTACCACGATTCATTTTAGTGGCTTTGCTATTGGCAAAAGTTTCCGGCTCAATTTTGCCTATGAAATTTCTTATAGCGATATTTTCAGGCATTTCATAATTGTCGACGGAGTCCTGTTCTGTAATGACCTTTTTAACACAAATAGCGGCACGTTTCTGGCAGCTTTTATATAATCGAGCTTCGCTGACATCAGGTGAGACAAAGTTAGCTGCAAACTTGAGTTTTTCTTTATCTGGCTGAGCTTGCTGGCGGCTTGACTCCTTCGCACGATCATAGCATCCTCGATCCCATTCAACATACTCACTACTCGAACTGAAGTTAACATTTTTTGGCTCGTAAGCTACATCAACCTCAGAATTGGCTTCACTGGCTGGACGCCGTTGCTGACGCCGGCTGGTAACATTTTGAGACATGGGACGTGAGGCGAAGAGGCACAAGTAGGATTTGAAGAAAACTTAGTCGAGTAGCTAGGCGAGCCCAATATCAACTAGCCCCGAGCTAGGTTCTATGTGTTGTGTGTGTCTGTTTGTGTGTGTGCGTGCTGGGGTGTTACATGTTGTTATGCTTGTTATTTGACATAAATAACACTGAAGCTGTGTTATCGCATAGCTAACTATACACAGACACACACATTTCATCACAGTAATGACCTTTGCTTTCGGCACAGCCATCAATTCGCGTTCAGGTATATGCCACACACACACACACGCACACACAGCGACTGCAACAACTTGGCAGCCAAAAGGGAGCCAAACGACGAGCCATGTGCTAGGCCACAAAACACAAAACCAAACGCAAATCAATTAGCTGCAGCAACAAGAAAACTTTACACAAAAAAAGAACTTGGAAGCTAAAAATAATTTGAAAAAAATGAGTTGAGTTCAACGAAATTTGTATGCTCTAAGGCTGAAAGTCAAGCATGTATTAAATATAAGAAAATGTTTCTGAATCAGCTAAGTGTAGCTAGGAAAGAGATGCTTAAGAAATGGCTGCGACTCTCTAGAACTTAATCAATTTGAGTCTACAGATCCTAACTCTCCAAGTTTCAAACAGAAGTCAAATAGAAGTGATTAAATCTTAATTATCATAAGCCTGACAAACTCTTTGTCAGAGTCAGTGATACCCTAACAATTTAGTAAATTTTAAGTGCCCCGAAACTTTAGTTTGCCCACACAACGCGTCCCAGAGTGCAGCGAGTACAATGTGGGCGAGCAATGGAGGCGGGCTCGAGGAGCGAGGAGGTGCTGCTGGCAACTAGAGGCCGGCCGATCCGTTAGCAGTGCCATTAGTGTCACTTAGCAGCTAATTATGCAGCGCTTGTGAATTACTTTTTAATTTGTTGCTGCGCGTGCACCAAAAATAAATAAAGAAACGCAGCAGCAAGAGGAGGTTGCCCCAAGAGCAGTTGCCGGGGCCAACTACAAAACTCAAGTGGCAAAAATGTTCGTTCGAGTGGATCCCAGACAAAAGTTTTGGACCGCGGCAGCCAGCTTGGCTGCTGGTTGCTGGCTGCTGGCTGCTGGCTGCCGGTCTGTTGACTACTTGGACCTGACTCCTTCTGTTGTTCCTCGCTGCGGCACGTGCTGTGGGCGTTCACTTTAATTTAGCTGCCTACCGTAGGGCACCCGAGGGCACACGGCGCACCTCACCTGCTCTGGCTGGCCAAAACGGACGAACGTTTGCCAAATGGGCGTGAGCTTTGCATATAGAAATTATGTTGTTAGCTGTTGCTGCAGCACAAGTGTTGCAAGCAGGTGAAAGGAGTACCTTTTGGAGGACGCTAAAGTAAGTAGTTGAAAGGAAGTTGATGAGGAAAGCTGGTTAAGTTGCCTACAATGAAAGCTATCATGCTTAAGCTTAAGTTTGAGTCTTGCACTCCATTAAAATCAGTATGGCTTAGCCCTTATTAACGTTATTTAGTAGCTGTTGCCAATTAATTCCAAGTTGCAAGGCAAGAGCTCGGCTCAATTGGTGTTTCTATCGCCCGGCTTTACCTTTTGATCTTCACGCCTGCCGTTGGCACGCTTCGAGCCGTTCGGTTCTCTGTTCCAAGTGTTAATTAGACAAAACTAATTAAAAATTTTACGCACACACAAGGCCCAGCCGCCAGGCAGCCTCAGTCGGACAGCAGCTTCAGACTGAAAGCCTTGTTGCAATCGAGCTGACTGCGAAGCACTCCAAATGCGGCGCAAGATACATTTATTAAATTCGCTCAGTCGGCTCGATTGGAGCTCGAGTAGCATAAATCGTTCGCCTGACATGCGACAAAACGTGCAGGTTACATTTGTTGCGGTGCGATTGAAGGAGCGACCAGAGACGAACAGCGATCAACGATCAACGATCGACGATCAACGATCAACGATCGACGACGGGCTGATGGGTAATTAAAAATTGATCACGTTTAACAAAATGCTACTGAAACAATATATCACAATGCCCGGTGGCACGGTGCAAGGGGGCAAGGCAAGGGTAACAGGACGCAATGTTGACAAAGTCACAACGACGATTGAACATATCGATCGCTTTGGCTGCCACATTAAAGTCAGAGCTACAGGTTACAGAGCTCTCTCGCTCTGTCTCCCTCTCTCTCTCTCTCCCTCTCTCGCTCTCTCTTTATTGTTGGTACATTTTTTTCGCTGTCAGTCCATCAATAATTCATTGCGACTGAGTGATCTATTCAAGCAACGATCGCCAAGCAACTGCCGCACTCGAACGCGAGAAAAAAGATATTCCGCTTGTCAGCCACGGCACAAGTGTTTTTTGCTTATATTCTGCTGCGCATTATGCCAAAACAAAATTGTGCCATAAATATAATAATGATAAGTGAGGAGTGGAAAAAAAGGAGAGTAGAGAGACAGCTACAATGGACGCTGTTCCGCTCATTATTGTTAGCTGAGTTGAGGAACCCTTCAGAACGGGTGTTGGTTTTTCACAATGAACTTCGGAGCTGACAAAAGGAATGCGAATGAGAATGCGACTGCATTGGCTCCTTTGATTGAAAATCGCCGCTGCAATTTTTGACAGCACTTCAGATACGTTATTAATGCGTGCAATGCGGTAGGCCAAATCAATTTTCTACTCCCTCTCTTGGCCCTCTGCATCAGTTTAGTTAATGGACTGCAATCTAGTTGGCCCAGTGCCCAGTGCGGGCTTTAACCCTTGACATGCCGATCGAAAAACATTGCGAGGTGTTGACAAAACATAAAGTTCGTGTGAATGCCAACACGTTGTGACAATTGTTTGACAACAACAACAGCAACAACAGGGCCTAACTATGAAAAGGTCCTCAGCACACAGACGGCATCATGACTCTCCTCCCACAGCCACAGCCACAGCCACAGCTCTGAGCCTTGAGCTCTGCTCCCAACAAACTCGCATCGCAATCATCGATAACATTTTCGCAGTTGTTGTTGCAGTTGTAAAACGTGCAGGCCGCGCGCGAACATTCAAAATATGCAAATGCCACAAGGAGAGCAACAACAACAATTGCAGGCAACACGAGAGAAGACGCAGAATCGATTGAGCTATACCGAAGCTGTGTTGCTCTAATCAATTGAAACCTTTAAAAGCTGCTCTAAAGATAATTAACTTAGCCTCAGCTCAGGTGAGACAACTTGAAAATATAATTGAAAATGTTTTTAGAAAATTAATAGAATTAAATATTTTAGCTGACATCGATTGTTATAACATAGTCAAACTAATTTTAGTTAGAGTATGCACAACAATTGTCTACTGCAATCATCATCAGCATCATCATCGCTGGCTGTGACGGTGACTGTGGCTGCGGCTGTGACTGTGGCTGTGGCTGATGCTGTAGCTGCCTTATCGCTTTGGGGCATTCAAAATGTTTGCATTGCATATTTTTTGCTGGCTTTTTGAAATTCCGCGAAAATACGCTTTTGGGCCATAGAGCGCCAAATTGAAGCTGGCTAATCATATTGACAAGCGCGACAAATCCCCAACAACTGACAGACATTTCGGTTTCGCTTTTGTGGCAGCCACTTGTTAAGCAATTAGTCATCGCTCGATGGAAGCGATGTGGGTTCAGTCGGATGGCTTAAATAATTGAAACAACAGAGCCGTCTAAGTCGAGTTCTTTTTGGCTAATGGAAACTTAAGACTTTTCCGTCTCGCTCAGCGACTGCAGTGCTATATCTTCAGATCTGGCTCTATTAATAATTTGGCAGTCTGTTTGCATTTAGCTTTCCGCCTCACATATCCTGTGTGCTCGCAAATTTGGAATACCTTGGCTCTGTTTTGTGTTCGTTTCGGCTACTCCCCCGCGCGTATCTTAGGCTGTTCCGTTGTTCAACTCGAGCTTGTTCGCTGCAGAAGGGAACAACACCAAAGCAAGGCGATGCTAAAGCTGAAGGAGAGGCGGAGTTGGCAAGACAGAGGCGCAACGAAGCGAGGCATATTGATATCGTGCATATTGATCTTGTTTGGCGATAAGTGTGGAGTCTATACTCGTACTCGTATATAAAAATATTTGCTACGTTTGGCTTAAGCCACTTCCATGGAAGTTGCTCGCATAAAAACCTACAAAACAAAGCAAAAGGAGCAAAAACAAAGCGCAATTCGACGGCTGCAGCAACTGGCATTAGACTCCAGCGATTTGGCCAGTAGTTGGAACGTTTTGGGGCTAAAATGCTTATGCGCTGCGGCATCGCTGTTGAACCCGGGGTTGCGCCAATGGGCAAGCAGCGAGGCAAACCGGGCGGCCGGGCGAACAAGCAACTATGTCTGGTTTTTTGGGGGCACATGTGGCCCAACACCAGGAACAGGCTCAGCTACAGCTACAGCTATGGCATTCTCACACGACCCAAAGCGTTGGTCAGCTGTACGAGCATTGGGCTTGGGCTTGGAGCCACAAAGCTGCGGTCTAGGCAGACCGCAACTATAAATTTCATAATGGCAAAAGGGGTAAGCGGCTCTGGCTGCTGCTGCGGCTCCTCATGAAGGTCTTTGCATTTCTGCGAATTAATATTCGTGTGATTTTTTATCGTTATTTGATTTCTGCTAAATATATATTCGCCTCAACGTGCGCGCACGCCAGACCTTAGAAAAAAAGTCAAAGTGTCAGCCGTAATTGCAATGATTGAGTGCGAGCCGAAGCAGCTTTCTTCTGCGCTTCTCGCATCCAGCTGTCGCCTCTCTATGTGCTTCTCAGGCAACTGATGCTCAAAAGCAACTGTATATGACGTAAACTTGACTTATGCTAGCTGGAAAGTAGCAGAGAATGAGCATTGTGCCTGTCGCTACGTAACTGTATAAGTTGAGAAACCCCCTTCTATAAATTAGAATCTATGACAATAGCAACTATCACCTTACGCAGTAGCTGGCATAACAATTACCATTGTATTACCCGGCCAATTAGGTTTAGGGCCAGCCACAAGGGCAAGCCTGTGCCTCGTAGTCATTAAACGGACTCAACTTTAACCTTTTTAATGAGCCGCACTCAGCTGCAAGCAGCTGGCGCAGCTCACATAAAATCATAAAATCTGCTCACATGAAATTAGCCAGGGCCATAAAAAGAAGCCCAACATAAAATGCCAAACAAGAGCGCCAATGTAATTATGCAAAACAAACATTTCAATATGGTCGGGCAGAGAGGGAGGGAGCGGTAGAGCGCGCGAGGGGGTGGCCCTTAGCGGAATTAACTTATTAATTCTACGAGCCGGAATTTCAATTTTTGCGATTGGCATTTTTTCAATGAATCTTTCAAGTTTTTATAGCCCAGCCGCAGCAGTCGCAATGTTTATGTTATTAATTTCTGAGCTGACGTCGCACACGGCGTATGTGGAATGTCTCCAAGAACAAAGATAGAGAACGAAGAGGACAGAGACAGACAGAGAGAGAGAGAGAGAGAGAGAGAGGCCTCTCGCCAAGGACTGACCACAAAAACAGCAGCGCGTAATTTAATATTTCGTGGCGCCAGCAGAACTATAAAAAAAATCAATGCAGGCTCCAGCTCCAGCTTCAGCTTCGACTTCAGCTTCAGCTCCAGCTACAGCTACAGTTTGAGCTCCAAAATGAAATGACTTAAGCTGCGCCATTCATTATGACAACACGACGTTGGTTGGTTCCTTCGCCAGACAGAACAGGGGCTTGGGCCAGGGGCAGTAGATTGGTAGATTGGTCGCATTGCTTGCAGATTTGCTGCTGCTTCATCTTCATCATCTTTTGGGGGCAGCAAGGAGCAGCAGGTCCAGCGTTCCTGTTTCCAGGCGCTGGCGCAGTAAAAATGTCTGCGCCAAACACAAATTTTGTGTTGAGATTGCGATCATTTCACTGATATCGTCGCGTCGCATTCAGGCGTGTGCGCAGGCGCAAGCAAGCTTTAGCAGCCGCAGCAGCAGCAACAACAACAACAACAACAACAAGCTGAACAACGCGTGACGCAAAAATACCAAACATAACATTTGACTGTTTGTTGTTGTTGTTGTTATTGTTGCTGTTGCTATGGCTTTTGCTGCTGTTGAATGCGGCATGTGACCCTTTCTTGTCACTGCCAAATACACTGCCACAAATTGGCTAGCAACAAACTGCGAAAAGTGAAGCTTTTCTCACATAGAGCTTAGCTTTTAAAATTAATTTCTTGCCCACTAAATATACAAATATAGCGTTTGCCTTATGGCAAAGATATTAAAAGCACGCCTTTCTTTGCAATTCTGAAATATTCCTGGCACTCAATATGAATCGAAAATCTATAACTTATATGTGAAGAAGCTTTCTGTTTGTTAAAACACACGCCTAAGCTGCGTAACGTAGACTATATAAAGCTTTACACTGCGCCTCTCTATGCAGTTCTCATGCATATTGAATTACTAAATACATGCACATATGCAGAACAATTAGCTTCTATTATAATAATAATAAACATATAATAAACATAAACTGATAAGATTACAGATATTCGTCGCGCCTTTCTATGCACTTCTCAAAGCAGTGAGTCACTTCGACTGACTCAGGCCGATAACACCAAATCTTAATGCAATTAATTTTCGAATACAATCGCTTTATTTAAATAGAATTTGTTTTCCTTCGGGGTTTTATTCAATTTATCAATTACTCACTCGCCAGCGCTGTCAAAAGTTCTGTCAGTGCAAAAGTTCGCGCATCAAAGCTGCGTCAGCTCTTTGCATTATGTTCAATGAATGATATTTTATGCCTTAGTTGCAAATCTGTGGGTTTGGTTTTTGTTTTTATTCCAAGCTCTTTTTTTTTTTTTGGTTTACCTCTACGCCCGGTTTCCATAAGGTACGAGTAATATGTATAAAAATTGTGAACATGTGGGAACTGTTTTATTTTTTTTCTTTGGTTTTGCGCTGGTTTATTTTCATTTGGAGTTTTATATGCTGGTTGCTGCTTTGGCCATTGGACAACATCGACGACTGCGATTCGGACGCGGACTGGGATTGGAGTTGGTGTTGTTATGTCGTACTCATTTCATTTTTGATTTATGCAGCGAACCCTTTCTAAATAATAAATAAAATATGAAATATGTCGACTTTTTGTTGTTTCTGCTTTTGTTGTTGTTGCTGTGGTTGCTGTGGTTGCTGTGGTTGCAGTTGCTGCTGGCTGAAGGAACAGATCTTGGGTTCCACGTTAGGCTGCAGCTCCTTCAGCGCGGATTGAATCTGGTGTCGTTTTGTTAAATGTCCATCAAAATCATTTTTGTGTCTCAACAAAGCTTAAAATGTATACATCAAATGCCCTGGCCTCATAAATTATATTTTTAGTCTGAGCTTGTCCTCCGCTTGAAATTGAAATTGAAAGTTCCCTTTGGCTGGCACGGCGACTGACAAGTGAGTTTTCGATTTGAACTTGTAGTCCTCTCTTGAGAGTTCTCTGCTTCTACCTCTTCTCTTCTCTTTTTTTTGGGTATAGTAAAGCGTTGCAATGGAAGCTGGCGCTAGTTGGCTGTCAAATTAGTAACCAGCTTCACGGTCAACGCTTAAGCATTCCATCCTGCTGAGCAGCATACGATCCTTGGCAAAGATATGCTCAGGAATTACTCATCAGCAAGAAGAGATCGAAGTATTAGCTGTACTGAGTTGCAGATTCTGTAAAAGTTGCAGATGTCAACAAATTTCAGAAGAAACTAATTTAAGTGAAAAGCTCTTGTCACGCTTACAGTTAATCGTGTATAACATTCAATTTATAGAGTTTCCATTCGGTCTCCGGTCTCCTTCCCAATGACTTCTCTACAAGGACTTCTCTCAAGTTTATAAAGCAACCTTCGCTGTGAGTTACTTAGCAAAGGACTAGATCAATAAACAGCAATAGCGAGCTCTCCATTCCCCTTCTCTTCTGCTCTCTGTAATTACCGTTACATAAATCAAGTTTTTTAAAGTGAGAAATGTAAATGTTAAAGCAACCGGATAAGCATAAAAATAGGCATTCAAATAAATAGACTAAACCGGATTTGCAACAAGCGTGCGCGGCGTCGTCTGCACCCACAACAAATACAGAAGGATAACAACCCCAATGGGCGCACACGCACCACACCCACACCCACACACCTCGATATCCGCATACATATATGACGCACTTCCTAGCAAGGAAGAGCGACTGCAAGTGAAGTCTGCGAGCCTGAAGACCCAGCATTATCCTTTCACACGCAGCCCTATTGTTGGGGGTTGTTGTTCCTGCTCGGAAAAAGTCAATTAAAAAAGTTAAATAAATCATAAACTTGGCAGATGATTTGATTGCGGCATGCGCACCAATCCTCGCCGAGGCAACAATGTAACCCCGCACAGGAGCTCTGCCAGCCGATGGGTGGCGACTGGCATTGGCTGTGTTTGTTTGCTTGAGGCTTTTAGAGTTTTTGGCCCCGGTGCAAAAATTCTTCCGTATTTACTTTTGGGCTGATGCTGCTGTTGCGGCTGCGGTTGCCTGCCAAGGCTTTGCTTCCTGTGCGTCGTGGGGGCGGGGTGAGGGGGGCATGTCCTGGGCGGACATCCGCCTGCTTCTGTTGCTGCTGCTGCTGCTGCTACTGCGGCTGGTTGTTGTCGTTGTCGTTGACTTTGGCAATCATAACTGTAACTGCTTGCTGCCAAAATTTATGAAGTGTGCCGCCGTTGACGATGACTTTGCCACGTGTCCTGACGACCCCTGTGCCAGCTCCAGCTCCTCCTCCTTCTGCGCCGCCGTCGACTGCATTTGAGTTCTGGGCGTTTGCTTTCACTTATTTTTCGTTCATTATTAAAATTTTTGCTACGTCCTTGCGAGTGATTTGCTTTGATTTTGATTTGCCGCGGCCTTAACTGACATTTATCATATTGCGGCAAATGAATTTTAATGAAATATCATTCTTTCCCCCACTCCCCTTTTGTTTATAATTTATGTTGGCAGCAACATTTGTCGCATTGCCTGTGACATCTTTCAGCTACAGTTGCTTCGTTTTAGTTTCATTTTTGGCAGACGTCTTTAAGTTGTTCGCACCCACATCCGCTTCCGACTTTGGGGCTGCCTTTGCTGAAATAATGGCTCAGACCAAAGGAAAAAACCTACTCTGCTCCCCATTTGCTGTCGTCTCTCTTTCACTACGTCGCCGTCTCTTTCGGACGTCGGCCATTGCGCCAAGTTTCCTTACTGCGCCAATACGTTTCCGTTTTCCTGTCTGCACTGACATTTGCAGCATGTTGCTTGTCATTATGTTTTTTTTTTGCTCTTTCTAATACCCTGTGTGCAGCAAATGCTGCTAGAAGGCAGCTCGATGGATCTTAGAAAGTGGAGCAAGCTTATATTGTGTGCAGGTTTAGAGGGCATTGCAGGCGTCCAGGGCATTTGATAGTCGCCACATATTTTGAGCTTTCAGTCGCACTGATTTAACGACAGCGAATGAAAAATTTATTATGCGTAAACTTTTCCAACGCTTAAGGGTCGCAATTGCTGAAATTGGCAAAGATATCATCTTTTGCAATGATTAGCTTGGACAGAAACCGTGCTCAACCCTCGTTGTAGGTTGCTTCTGTCAGTGTCACTGTCATAACTGTGTGGGCGTTGTCCTTCGTCGTTCGTCCCAAATGCTTGTGCCTTTGTCTGCTAGCCCATAATCATGTTGTCATTAGCACATGTACCAGTCTAGCTGAGTCCTGCCAGGGAACAAGTAGCATAACAGCCACTGCAACTGCGGGCCTCTCAAATTACACACACACCCGCACACCCGCACACCCCAGCCCAAAGCTGCAGCTGAAAGTTGCATTGATATGCGGCTTATACGTGATAGGCCTTCAAAGCATTAACCTCTAATGTGGACTGTATATTCGGTGTTTATAGTACACATCCCTCTTCAAGCTATAGAAATTAATATAACGAATGAAGAGTGAAATAGTATCTATATATGATCTATAGCATGATATATACTCTATATATACTTATAGAAATGTTCATCTACCTGATAAACTTTTCACCTTTAAGCAAACTTTCTTTCAGCGACTTTCATCATTATCCTGAATCTTACCTCTGCTTTTAGCAGAGTAACAAAATTAATGATCTACGCTGGACTTAATAAACTTTAGTGCTTTAAGGTCTTCGCCATTATGGCCAGCTGGCCGTTTAAGAGGTGTTGTCCACAGCAGGCCCATTAAAATTTCAATAGCTCTGCTTTACACACAACGCTCCCTCTCAGTGCTTTCGACCGGCCACGGGACCAATCGTCGCGTTCTTGTCTTGTCAATATTGAACAATTCATGCGCATTGCGTAAACATCCGTTAAAACTTTATTTTATGGCCGCCATTTTACGAACGTTTGGTGTAAATACATTTCCGCCGGGCACTGGACACTGGACCCCAAACCAGACTCCGAAAGCGGGCAACCATAGTGAAGAGATGGGACTCAGGCGCAGGAAGCGCAAAAAATGGCGACGCCGCAGATGACAAAAGAGCATTGCGCGAAGAGCTGCAGAAGCAGTTTCAAAGGAGACCAGGCATAAATTATGCACTGCAAAAAAAATAAATAAAAACGACGAGACACACAATAAAAATTGGCAAAAAATTGTGTACGCAATCAGAAGCACGAAATGGCAAAAGGGAAAAAAAAATCTGCAACAAAAACAGAAATTCATAATAACGAAGCTTGAAATGCACTCACCAAGGATAGAGAGGGAGATGGATGGGAGAGAGACGGGTAGAGAGAGCGATATACAGGGTGGTAAAGGAAGAAAGAGAGGGAGACATATTCAGAGAGAGATAAAAGAACAAGGGGAGAGAGAGAGCGAGAGCGAGGGAAAAAGAGGGAGAGAGGGAAAAAGAGAGAGAGAGGGGAAAAGAGAGAGAGAGGGAGAGAGAGAGAGAGAAAGAGAGAGAGAGAGAAAGAGAAATAGAGAAAGAGATGGATAGTGTGAGAGAGAGCTAGATAGAGAAAGAAAGAGAGAGAAACATAGAGAGAGAGAAAGGGTGAAAGAGCTCGAGGAAGAGATATAATGGAAAGGGATGGAGAGAGAGACAAGGATAGTGAGAGAAAGGTAGAAACAGAGAGATAGAGATGGAGAAAGGGAAAAAGAGATAGAGAAACAAAGAGCAGGAGAGAAAGGATTAGAGAAAAACAGACAGAAGTTCGAGGATAGCAAATAAAAATACTTAACATAAAATGTTAGTAAAGAAATATTTAAAAATACTAATAAAAAACTTTTTAATAACTGTTTAACAAGTCTAGAAAAATATTTGCATAAAATCATAAATGAGAAGAAATTCAAAAATGATGTAAAAATATTGTGCTTGATAAAAATATGTTAAGCATGCCTAAAATTAAAATTTTTTTATCCATGGATTATGCCAAACTGAAGCACAAAGTTGATATCGGATCATAAGTGGCAAGAGTAGAAATATCGAGCGAAGTGAAATAAATGACAAAAGTTTTTGCAGCTTGTTGTCGAGCAATAAGAAAGGAAGAAAGTAATTTAAAGAGAGATGCGAACAGCAGAAATAGGAGAGACAGAGAGAGGGAGAAAAATGGTGGGGGCTGAAAAGAAAAGCTGACAATTTTAATGAAAAGTCTTCAGCGTGTGCCTTTCCAAGGAAAAAGATACATAGCAGGGAGCCTATATAGAGAGAGAAAGAGCAAGAGAGATAGTGACACATGGAGAGAGAGAAAGAGAGAGAGAGAGAAGTAATCAAGAGAAAGGCAGCTAGAGGAGTTGGGCAAAACAAACTCTGACGCGTTTTCCTGACAAGCATATGACCCAATTATGCGCAATCATCAGCAACAACAGCACGAACGTCTTGCAGGAATCATAACAGCGAGCACAAACAACTTTTGTATCTTTGTATCTTTGTATCTTATGGATGCGTCGCACAAAAGCAAATGTCAGTTACACAAAACACGCGCCGCCACCGTTGACGTCGCCGTCGCCGTCGCCGTCACCGTCGCATAGTTTCTATGGTGCCCCGCACAATTCCAATTTCAATTTCAATGCGCCTGACAGCGCCAGTCCAGGACGAAGGACGAAGCTTGAAGATGCCAGCCCGCCAGCCCAGCTGCCCCATGTATCTATGAGATACAAATCAGCGACGACGACGACGATGATGATGATGACGACAATCAGCGCCAAACAAATGAGTTAATGTGGCTGGCCAAATTTGTTGGCCATTGTGCGCCCAAGCTGGCTCTCTTGGCCAGGCTTTGTCCTAGCAAGTGGCCACAATTGAATAAATGAATGCACTCAAATACGAGCTGTGTATGTGTGTGTGTGCCTGTAGCTGGGTCAGGTGAATGCGTTCATTATTATGCTGTTTGTTCTATTTGGCCATCTTTTTGTCGCCTGCAATTTGCGCTCTTTGTTGTGAACTCTCTCGCTCTCTATCTCTCTCTCTCTTACTTTCCCCCTCTTAGCCGCATGCAAATAATTGCTTTATGCGCTTGTTCTGACCAACATTATAATGGGGCCAGCAACCGACTCTTGACATCTGCAATCAGCACTTAATGAGCTCTCCAAAACATTTCCTTTCACATGGCTGTCGTTAGTGGCATTAACTAATTGAACGATAATTGACTGGAAATTTGGCCGAGATTTTGATGACATTTTTGATTTTCTAGTATGTGCCTAAAAGAGCAGAGATTGTAATACTCATTCAAGGGTATATTTGCTGCCTGCCATGTACGTGTGTTCAGGGACTTGAAATTTAGAATATATACTCGTGGGAACACTCGACTTTAGTTTCGGAAAATATATTTGGTATGAGATAAGAAAGACTTGAAATTTAAGAACCCCATACGATTCTGTACAGATATAGATTATATATAGTTATAAGTCAATGTTCAGTGTACTTGCCAAGTACTTGAAATCAACTCCACTATAATATGTATTCCATTGCTACTTGAAATTCCCGCATTGGAGAAATACAAAGCCGATAAGACCATCCGTAAGACAGTTATCTGCTTGAAATGAATATAGGTAAAGCTCCCACGTTCCAGTAAATGTTGGGAACGAAATCAACAATTACACGGCAAATTAAATTGTAGCCAACAGCACTTGACACTCGCCAGTTGGGAGACAGCGAGGCAAGCCAATTCGAGAATCCGACATGGAAGGAAAATAGCACTTGGCCCCTTCTTAGGTCTCTCATTAGCCATTCACGACGCGTAGACGAACAAAGCCATAGATAAAGGTGACCCGCGCCCTGAGGCCCGAAATAAAAACAAGAGACAACCCAAACTCAAAGTCCAAGTCGAAGCGTACGAAAGACAGTTTCTAAACAAAACAATTTACGTATAAATTAATTTACTTTCATTAATTAGTTAGGGTATTAGATGATATCATGGGGTGACAGTGTGGAAAATTGGAATGTAAAAGTTGGCAAAGTGAAATTAACATAGAATTCAGCTAACTACAAAGAAATGGGAGAAAATCACTTATATATATATATATATATATATATTTGCATGGCAAATTAAAATGCCAACAAAAGTGAAACTTTTTAGCCAAGTTTCCCTGCAAATGGAAATTGAGCTGCAAATTAGAGCTGTTTGCGTGTTGGATTGAGAACTCTATGCAATAGATGAAGCGAAATGAAGCCAAGATATTACGTTGATCTACGATTCTACGATTTACGATCATTTTTTGTTTTAATATATAAATAGTTTAAACACTATTTATCATATCTTTAATACTTGCTTAATATATACAGCCTTGATCACAAAAATAGTAGTGCGTCTGAGCATCAAATGTTGCACAACATAATTTTCTAATAAGAACAATATTTTAGAAACTTTTTGAAATGAATATTAAGATTAACATATTTTTTATAAATTTAGATATATTTCTTTTCATACTTAGTAACATTTGCAATTCTGGGCCGAGAAATGCTTTCCTC